TTATGTTTGTATGGGATTTGACCACTCTACTTTTCTGTTGCTTATTTTTATGAAAGGTTAGTTTACCTGAACTTTGAGCAAGGTTCAGGAAAGCTTTTCTAACTTCACAGAACCCTGTCTTTTGTTTGTTGTGAGTGTTAAAAACTATGGTGGCTTGGTTCTGAGATTTCCTGGTCCTCTTTCCTCCTACAGTTTGGTCTGGGCCATGTCTTTACTTTGTCTTCATTGCCCCTATTCTGCTTAGTTGTTTTTTTTTTTGCGGTACGCGGGCCTCTCACTGTTGTGGCCTCTCCCGTTGCGGAGCACAGGCTCCGGACGCGCAGGCTCAGCGGCCATGGCTCACGGGCCCAGCCGCTCCACAGCATGTGGGATCTTACCGGACCAGGGCATGAACCCGTGACCCCTGCATCGGCAGGTGGACTCTCAACCACTGCGCCACCAGGGAAGCCCCTGCTCAGTTTTCAGCCTCTACTGATTCTCATTAGTGTGGGCCCCTGTCCAGGAAGTAACTTGACAGTCAGTTATGAAGGTCTGTGAGGCTGGACTGTACCAACCCTTTCAGGACTCTCTTACCATACGCCTGTTTCATATGCCAGTTTCAGCTGCTGCTCTCAGGTTGTACTACAGCTCTTCCCATTAACTGTCTGTTGACCCTTTGGGGGTCCTTTCAGATGCATACTTGTTATTTTCCTCTGCTTGCTTCTCTGTAGATACCTCTACTCCGTGCAGGTTTTGTGGCTGTTGGTGGTTTGCCCTTATTCATTTGTATTTTGTAATTATTTGTTTGTTGTAAATATTGCCCATGATTTTCTAGTTTCTCTATCTAGTTACATTAGATAGGATTTTTATAAACTCTGTTATGTGAATTAATTAGGAAATTAAACTATAGAAGAACAAAGAGACTTTATAAAAGATACACACTGGCAGGGCTGGTGTAAGAACCCATTTTGTAGTTTACATGTCACTCTTTTTTTTTTCTATTTAACCCTGTAAAAGCATTTTCAAGCTTCTTATACATATTAGTTTTCGTTCGTTGTGTAACAAGTTACCAAAAACTTAGTGGCTTCAAACAGCCCTCATTTATTATTTCTCAGTCTCTGTAGGTCAGGAATCTGGGCACTGCTTAGATGTGCCCTCTGTTCAGAGTTTCACTAAGTTGTTGTCAAGGTGCTGCTGGCTGTGTTCTCATCTGGAGGCTTGACTGGAAAGAATCTGCTACCCAGTTCATTCAGGTTGTTGGCAGAATGTATTTCCTGTTGGCATCTGTATGACTGAGGTATCTGGCTTTTCACTGCCTGTGGGTTGGAGCTGCCTGCAGTTCCCTGCCATGTGGCCCTCTCCGTAGGCAGTTCACAGCGTGACAGTGTGCTTCTTCACGATCAGCTAGAGGTTGTCTGTCACTTCACTCTGCTAGGACAGAATCTTATATAACATAATATAATCATGGGAGTGCAGCCTGTCACCTTTGCCATATTCTGTTAGTTAGAGGCAAGTCACAGGTTCTGCCCGCAGTAAAGGGGAGGGTATTATACAAGAGAGAAACACCAGGGGGCAGAGATCATGGGGACCATCTGCCTACTACGTTATGTGTTTCAGTGATCTGGAAGTTGATGAAACTTGCACCTGAGCTATAGAAGACCATTTTCTCTCTAGAAGACCATTCAGATTTGAAGATGTTACATAGCAAAATAATACACTGAGAAACGGTGGTTGCCTTCAATTTAGCTTTATTGAAACAACTATGTTAAAATTTGGTAAACTACCTCTTCCCACACTTCTCTGCCCAAGATCAAAACAAAAGAAAAAACGCAGACATTATTAAGGCCCTAAGTATATAAATTCTTTTCCTGTGAGGTAGAGGTTCTCTTTGTGCCTGTTGTGACACATATGCATATGTGTGTGTGTGTTTCATCCTTTTCACTTTAAAAATAGAAACATTTTGTATATACTTTTGAGCCTTGTACATTACTCTGAAGTGTGGAAGAATCCCTTCTAACTCTTATACTTCCATTCTGAAGGCATTTCCTCTGGAGTCTGAGCTTTGGGGGCATGGTGGTAAGATGAAAAGATTTGGGGACTCAGTATCAGAAGAGCTTGATTGAGTCCTTGGTGTCCCCTACTTAGTAGCTGACTGGCCTTAGGCAAGTCATTTAAGACTTTCTGAATTAGATGAGTTTCTGTAATTGAAATGAGGATAATGAACCTCAGGTAAGGTAATTTATAGTTTAACTGTATCAACAATGACCTTGTAGAAAGAGCTTGGGCTTTAGAGTTAGATAGGCAGATAGTAATGAGTTGGAATTTTGGTTCTGTAACTATGTATCTTTTGACAAATTACTTCTAATCTCTTAGTTTTCTCTGTTGAAAAGGATAATCTTTACATTGCAGTGTTGTAAGGATTGGAGTTCTTTTTTTTTTTTTTTTTTCTTGCGTTATGCGGGCCTCTCACTGTCGTGGCCTCTCCCATTTGCGGAGCACAGGCTCCGGACGCGCAGGCTCAGTGGCCATGGCTCACGGGCCCAGCCGCTCCGCGGCATGTGGGATCCTCCCGAAACGGGGCACGAACCCGCGTCTACTGCATCGGCAGGCGGACTCTCAAGCACTGCGCCACCAGGGAAGCCCCAGGATTGGAGTTCTATAGTTCTATGTATAAATAAAGTACCAAACACAGTGCTTGACATTTTACTAGGTGCTCAATAGATTAATGATAGTGGTGTTTGTCTACCACTATTCCCGAACTTGACATTTTACTAGGTGCTCAACAGATTAATGATAGTGGTGTTTGTCTACCACTATTCCCAAACTTAGTATTTAGGTCCCTGGGGAAATGGGATGCCGC